TTCCATTCCATTCCATTCCATTCCATTCCATTCCATTCCATTCCATTCCATTCCATTCTCTACTAGATACCTACCAGAATGCTGGAAAATTTGTACATGTAGCATTAAGCTATTATTTCCTCCCTACTGAAATCTGTAGCATGACCTTTCTGGGAATTGAATTAGAATAGAAATAATCAGCAAGTGTGTTTGCACATGCTATTACTGAAAATAAATATACCAGTAGCTAACATAATTCCTGAGCATCTTCACAAAGAGTGTAGTAACTGCATTGTAAGCAGTGACTTTTACATTTACCTTGTATGAGCGCTTACTGAAATCTGCTAATGTGTTCTGATAATCTATTATTTATTGCAACAGACTCTAACAGTGAGCCTTAGCAGAGTAGTCTCCAGTGTTTACAACACTTTCATCTAAAAACTCTCAGATGTGACAGCAAAGTAGCACCTTAAACCACAGATAGAATTTCTTTTGGTTGCAGTTGTTTCATTGCTATTTGCTTATAAAAATAAAACCTTTGTTTCCCTCAGATGCATGACTTGCTTTCATATAAACTACAGCATATAGCAGGTTCCTATAGAAAGCTGTAGATACACAACCACAAGTATTACTTGGGCTCGAGGACATACCTCCATGTTATACTTTTCCACTGTCCTTCTTAAAGGATCCACAACCTGCCAGCAAATCAAGATGCAAAGATCAATGAGTAGCATCCCTCCAACTATCACCATTAACTTCTGGTCTTTAATGATCTGGAGAGACAAAAAAGAAAAAAGAAAAAAAGGGGAAATTCCCATGAGCCATGGATAGATACCTGTACAGCTTTACGCAGGGAGAAAAAGGCTGCTAATAAAAAGGTATTAAACAATGGATAGGGAAAATTTCAGAAATACTAAAAGATGAAAGCAAGAAGACAGAAATTATATTAGTTCATTTTGTGGTTATTAGAAGTATCAAAAGTGTGTTCAGACTTCTAAAGAGAAACTGGGAGATTTCTTAAATATTATTATGGAAGTTCAGCATTAAGATTTGCACTTGAGAAATTAAAAAATGTCCATCTTAGAGATCCACTATTGTGTTTATGTACACAAGTGTGGAAAAATATTTGCAACATCTCTCACAACAGTAGGAATCAAGAAGAGATAGAGTTTTCATAATGATTTACAGTGTAGAGCTTCTCATAACTTTGTTGGATCAGGAAAATATGTTTGCAAGGTACTAAAAGGTAAGTTCAAGATGTTTCATGTTTGTGTGTGTGTGTGTATATAAAAAACTCTTCCCTCTGTTACCCAGGTAGTAGACAGGGATGACGCATTTTCTTTCTACATTACAACAGTGAGAGGCACTTAACCATACGCAACTTAAACATGTTTTTAATTCTGCATGAATTGTAGGCTTACAAAGAAAAAAAAATCTTAATAACAAGAAAAGTCCAAACTGTTTTGTATTACAGTCTTGTATAGTTGCATGCAATCCCTATATTATTACTATTACTTTTAAACACATAGCTGCATAAATAAAATACATTATAAGTGCATTATTTCAGTTGCAAAGTTGTCAAAAAGTTCCAAACATCTGGCTTAAATTGATTTTATGTAAGTTTTCTTGTGCCTATGTTTCTGTGTTTGTTGTTGTTGTTGTTGCTGTTTTTTAATAAGTATACTTTTATCACTAATTAATCGTCGTTCAATATTGAAAACATACTGCCAGATCGTTTTTGTCAGGACAAACTCACATATTTTTCCATAGTTAGTTTAATTCAAATAAAATATTCAAAAATATTAAGTCTAAGAGCCTTAATAATTTCAATTCAATTTGATAAACACAGTAGGATTTTGAAATAAGGCCATAAATGTCAGATAATCTTATGACAGACAAGGCTACCACTCTTGCTTAGAATATTTGCACTGAATTCCTACTAAACTTAAGGAAAGGATAAAAATAAATGCAATTTTAAATAATGTGAAAGGAACCTTAGAAAGTTTGCTTTTCATATTATCTTGTGCAATACATTCTTCATTTGGAAAGAAGTTTTTTCACTATTGTACATTACTCCATTAAACTACTGGGTTATGCTGTAAATCATCTTGAGTAAATTAAATATAGAAATAAGGCTAGCAGTCAGAATGACTTTAAGGACTTGAGGCATTATTTTCATTTCCTGAGACCATTTATTTACATCCATGTAGCTATCATCATTATGATCAGAAAGTGATGCTTTTCACGTTTGTATGAATAATGAGTCAAAAAGTCCATCTCATCAGAGATAGGTGCTTGAAAGGGAGGGTGATATAAAGATGCATTACATTACTTTCATTACATTTTGTATCACTGCTGAACAGGCTGGCAATGAGAATTTTGCAAGAAAAAGGTGTTTTGGCAGGGAGGTGGTAAGTACTGCACTGTATTTTCTCAGTGTGGGAAAAGGAAAGCAGGTATTAAGATTCTCTGTCTTTAGTCTTTTTTAGGAAAACACAACTGCATCTGACCATTCACTTCTTAACAAAGTTGCAGTCAAAACTGAAATAAAGGCTGCTAATCACTGAGATTGCCCTCTGAAACAAACGTCTATGCATTCAATAGGAGCTATCCAATAGCTCTAAACAGGACATAGGTGAATCACACCTAAATGTTGCTCCAGATTTAAGCAGAGATTAAGTGAGAAAACTACCGGCAGTCAAGTCCAAACAGAATTTGGATTAGATGAAATTGGCTTACTTCAGTCCAAATCTGTGATCCTGAAAACAGTTCCCTCCTAGTAAATTCAGAAGTGTTTTTACCAAAGCTGTTGATCAGAAAGCACCACAGAAGGCTTATGAGCAGGAGAAACCAGTCTTCCCTCAGCCACTGCTCAGAGTCCCTTTGGAAATGTAATCTCCATCCTCATGCACAGAACTACAGGCAGAGGGAGAGGCAGCCCATTTCCCTCTCTGGGACAGATTTAAGAGACAACGCCTTCCTTACAAGGAAGAATATGACCTGTGAAGGAGCAATCATTCATCACGTTTAAAACCTTACACTCCAGCTGCCCTGCTAATTCAACACGCTAAGTCAGATTTACATACTCCTGTGAGTAATGTGAAAGGATGATAAACTTGTAAACTCACTTGTAGCAGCGCACCAAGGGTCATGTTACCCTAACTAGAAGTTACCTACCATAGCAACTCCCTTAATCTGTACATAATCCATGCAGAGTTCATCTGTTTTACAGGAGCTTGTATTTTTTTCTAGGATCTTGCTCCCACTGAGATTTTGTTCAGAATATATACATACATGTAAACTTGCATATATGTATATATGTAAGGATTTCACCTTTATTAGAAACATTATTCTTCAAGAATTACTGTTTTAATTGAAGTATTTCTTACTTTAAATAATGGTGAACATTTCTACTGGGACACCTATGACAAGTAAGACAAGAGACACACAACCCAATTTATACCAACTGTATTGATACTGAAATTAGAGTTGCATCAGACACAAATTTACTAAGGCCTGCAAATAGCAGTACAGCAATTCCAGAAGCAGAAGAGTGAAAGGAGACTATTAAAGTCAGTAATACTGATAATCCACTCATTACTGGGTCAAAAGAAATTGCCATATCTGATATTATCACTTCCTATTTAGGATCACATTGCTAATTGCCCTCCCTTGCTCATGTTCAACTTTTGTTCGTAGCTGACCTTGCACTATTGTAGATGTTAATTCTTGGCCTTCTTTTTTTTTTTGGCAAGTATCTATTTACTCATTAGAGGAAACAGAGCAAACAGAAAAGCTTTCTCTTGGATACCTCTTGGATAATTTCTTCCTGCATTTCAGAATGGGAAAGGTACATGAGAGCAGCTGTCTCTGGCAGCAGGTATTATTCATCCCTTACTTATGCCAGTGAACAAACTGCCAGGATGAAGGCAAGGAAAAGAAAGTCCATAAGATAACCTGAGGATGTGATCAGCACTACTGCAATGAGCTTTGTAAAACTCAATGCTACCAATGCTGGATGCACAGTGAGTGGTCTGAAAGCAGGCTGCTGCACACACCCAAACTCATCCTGCTCACTACTTTGCAAAACTATTGAGGTAATGCAGTTATTGAGCAGAACTCTTCATCAAAACACTAGATTTTCAGAGATTTAATTATTTGCTTAAATGGGAGGCCATATCTATGGGTCTTAATGGTGCTGACAGCGCTGAATTCTAATAATGTTACCTTTACTGGGAGAAATGCAGTAATTCAATTTGTCTCTTATTATGTCAGGATTGCCCTAAGATTAAATTAAATAAAACAAACAGCTTTTATTTTTTGATGCTTCACATCTACCTCACTGAAACTATTTTAGACTGCAGAAAAAAAGAATAGCTTTGTATAAGAGCACTTGGGAAGAAAACACAGATGCTAACCTACGTTGTGCTTCCTCTCCCCCAGTTATTTAAAGAGCTCTTCTTCAGCGTGTGATTAGTACCTTTGTCCTAACATGCATTTACTCTGCCAATGCCACTGGCATATCACTCCCAGCAATTGCTGATCTCCCCACTCCACCCATAGGAAGCCCAGCTTTCCTTCTCTTCAGCCATTACTCCCACCCACCAGCACTTTTAAGTTCAGTACAACCACTCCCTGGCAACACCAGATGTACCGAAGGAGTCTTGACTCAGATCTTGTGAATCCAACAGAATTTCTCTGACTGACAAAAGAAAGTCACGAGTAACTCACTTACTCCTTACCATCAGATATATCATTCTTGCAGAGGAACATTCTGATTCTTCTTCCCCTTTTCACCCTCCCTCTAGCATACAGTAAATCAATCTTGGGAGAAAGCCATAGTAACTAATAAAATCCATTTTTAGGAGTGCTCCTGTGCCCTTGCTGAAGCCAAGCTCTCATACAGGAGCATCTGTGAAAATTATTTTCTACCATCTGTGGTTGGATAGGTGAATCTGTCTCATCCTGGCAGATCAACCCACTGTTATAAATGCCACTGCTACCAGCCTGGACTATATGTCTGGACACAAGGCTATCTGTCTTCCAAACAAGTTTCTTCAGAACAGTAACTGGTAAGCTATTTTCTCTTCAACAACACTGCTATATGAGTACATCAAACTCTTATCTGCAAACTGGTGGTTTTAGTGACCATGAAGATAAGTTCAAGATTGAAGTCCTCACCTTCCCTGAAGTATGTGGTCTGATCACAGGAGATGTGATATCTGTTTAAAGCTCTGGGAAGAAGCTTCTGCTCATGAAATTCTTGAGGATTTTATCAAAATATCACAGGCTTTACTACTTGCCACAGCAACTTCAAATGTCCAAACGGCTATTTTTTTTTCATAGAATTTTTGTGAGTTGTTTTGTTTGTTTTCTAAAGCACAGCCATTGTGCTCAGTAGGACCCTAACCTCAACCAGTGTATGAAATCAACAGATAATTTGGTAAAACAGCAATAAATCATTACAATTGCTTTTTGTGCTTAAGGCTAAAGCAAGCTTTATTTTGTCATTTCTTACCTTATTAGAAAATGACTTTGCAAATGTTGTCTTTTCATATATGATGTGGACCTTAAAGCCAAACTCACTGTTTTAAACCAATAACAAAGACTCTTATGTATGAAGACTTACTCTCCTCTCCAGGATGCACCTTTAGCTTTCCACTAGCTTTTTCATGAATAGCTTTGGATTCAATAGTTCATTTCCTCTTGCCTTTAAGGTTTACTTTGCTTGTTACCAGGAATGTCACCTCCCTTTTGTCAGAATCAAGAATAT